GATCTCAGCTCACTGCAACCTCCGCCTCCCAGGTTCAAGCGACTCTCCTGCCTCAGCCTCCCAAGTAGCTGGGATTACAGGCATGCGTCATCACGCCTGGCTAATTTTTTTAGTAGAGATGGGGTATCTCCATGTTGGTCAGGCTGGTCTTTTTTTTGAGACAGAGTCTTGCTCTGTCACCCAGGCTGGAGTGCAGTGGCGCGATCTCAGCTCACTGCAACCTCTGCCTCCTGGGTTTACACCATTCTCCTGCCTCAGCCTCCCAAGGAGCTGGGACTACAGGCGCCCACCACCACACCTGGCTAATTTTTTGTATTTTTAGTAGAGACGGAGTTTCACCGGGTTAGCCAGGATGGTCTCGATCTCCTGACCTCACAATCCGCTCGCCTCAGCCTCCCAAAGTGCTGGGATTACAGGTGTGAGCCATCGCGCCCAGCTTCTGGGCTTCATTATTGACCTCTTGGAAGCTTCTGGTATATTGACTATCCTTTCTTTTTCCAAACTTTTCTCTTGAATTCAGTGACATGCTTTTCTAGTTCTGTTTCCTTCCCGATTAATTCTGCCCCTTTTGACTTCTGTTATTCCTCTCACCACTGCAATATGGGTCACCAAATATAACCCATCTTAGGGTCACCATACTGAACTGTATCAGGGAATGCCATTCAGATCATAGTCTTTGTCACTGGCCCCACTCAGTTATGCAGTGCACAGCCTAGGCAGCTGTACATAGCACCTCTTACCTTATCTATACTGCTGACTTCAGTTATGTTACCTATTCTCTGCAGATTCTTACCAAAACCGCATCAGCAGCTTCTGCCTTGCACCATTGGAAAATATTGTGGAGCAGACTGAATCCCCCAACCACCCACCCCGGCAAGAGGCTCTGTGCCTCCCTGTGCTCACTAGCATCAGTGGGACAAGGCAATATTATTTGGCACCATCAGTGCACAAATGCAAGAATAAAGAATCCAACCAGATGTGGTGACTCATACCTGTAATCCCAGCACTTTGGAAGGCAGGTGGATCACTTGAGTTCAAGAGTTTGAGACCAGCCTGGGGCAATATGCCGAGACCCCCATCTCTACTAAAAATACAAAAAAATAGCTGGGCATGGTGGTGCACACCTGTGGTCCCGGCTAATTGGGAGACTGAGGTAGGAGGATCGCTTGAGCCCGGGAGGTGGAGGTTGCAGTGAGCCGAGATTACACCACTGCACTCCGACTTGGGTGACGAAGAGAGACCCTGTCTCAAAAAAAAAAAAAAAAAAAAAGAATCCCATGCTAAATAGTCTCTCTGGCTCAGCTTTATGTTTCTAGATTCAGTTAGAAGCCACTTGTTTCTTACAACTTTATTTTTTATTTATTTATTTTTTTGAGACGGAGTCTCGCCCTGTCGCCCAGGCTGGAGTGCAATGGCATGAGGCTCACTGCAGCCTCCACCTCCCGGGCTCAAGAGATTCTCCTGCCTCAGCCTCCCGAGTAGCTGGGATTACAGGCACCTGCCATCATGCCCAGCTAATTTTTGTATTTTTAGTACAGATGGGTTTTCACCATGTTGGTCAGGCTGGTCTTGAACACCTGACCTCAGGTGATCCACCCAACTCGGCCTCCTAAAGTGTTGGGGTTACAGGTGTGAGCCACCGTGCCCGGCCAAACATCTGTATTTCAATATACAGTTTTTTAAAAAATCCTTTCCTATGCACAACTTCACTTAATGCTCATAATAACCCTGAGAGGTAGACAGTAGTGTTAGATTTAGATACAAACACTGGAAATTAAAGAGGCTAAAATGACAAATGGATGCAGTGGAAAAGCCAGGATCCAAATCCAAGTCTTTTCCCTGCGGTACTTCATTCTGCTCCAAGCTCAGATTGACCAAATGTTGTTTGATAGAACACATGAGCTGGGGCTGAAGGAGCAGGGACAATGCCTTTTTCACTTTTGCCTCTGATAGCCTGTAGACTGGTAGGCACTGAAGTATTTGCTCACTTGTGCAATAAATATTTATTGAGCACCTTGTATGTGCTGGGCACTGAAAACACAACCGTGAACAAAGGCTGTCACGGTTCCTGAACTCATGGAGCTTCCACTCCAGTGGAGGAGACATAATTTCAGTGATAATGCTACGACAGGGGACAATGTGGGAGAAAATAAGAGGGAGGTGGCTAGGCGCGATGGCTCACTCCTGTAATCCCAGCACTTTGGAAGGCCAAGGTGGGTGAATCACGAGGTCAGGAGTTTGAGACCAGTCCGGCCAATATCGTGAAACCATGTCTCTACTAAAAAGACAAAAATTAGCCGGGTGTGGTGGCAGATGCCTGTAATCCCAGCTACTAGGGAGGCTGAGGCAGGAGAATTGCTTGAACCCGGGAGGCGAAGGTTGCAGTGAGCTGAGATCACGCCACTACACTCCAGCCTGGGTGACAGAGCGAGACTCCGTCTCAAAAAAGAAAAAGAAAAGGGGGAGGTAATTTTAGAATGGTCAGAGAAGGTTTTTCTGAGAAGATAACATTAATTAAACGAATAAATGAATGAAGAGCCACTCGTTAGCGGATTATTTGCTATACTTAAGAGTTTGTCAGCCACTAGACTGTTAACGGCTCTGATGCTGAATATCTTTTGAACCCTGTGTTGATGCTCAAAAGGCAAGTGCAGAGGTGAAGCATAACGAAGAATCCTTTTCCATTTCTTTTCAGTCCTCTGACCTTGCCTTTGCCGTCAGGGTCACACTCCCCCCTCTGCCACTCCCTTTCTTCTGTTTCCGGACACTTGCGGCCTGGACGCGCATGTGCGAGAGAAACCGTCATTCCCGGAGGACGAGCCACCGGCAGAACGCATGCGCCTCTGTACCGTAAGCCCCGCCCCGACCCCAGCGCCCCCTCGCGAGCGCCTGCCGTTTCTCCGGACGGGAGGGGGGGCGGGGACTGGGCGGAGAGGCGCGCGCTGGTGCGTGCGTGCGCGCGCGCCGCGGGCGGGCCAGTGAAACCGGCGGCCCTGGCACGTGACCCAGGACCGGCTCACCGGGTCGCTTGGTGGCTCAGTCTGTCTGTCCGTCCGCGGGTGCCATCATGGCGGACGCGGCCAGTCAGGTGCTCCTGGGCTCCGGTCTCACCATCCTGTCCCAGCCGCTTATGTACGTGAAAGTGCTCATCCAGGTATGAGGCGTCGCCGCTCCCTACCCCTCCTGGCGCCCCGTTCGGTCGCTGCTGCTCAGGGCGCCTGAGGATCGGCTCAGCCTTGCGGGCCCTTCATTCTCCCGAGATGCTGCTGCTCCTCCGCTGCCCTTTCCCTCCCCGCAGGGACAGCTTCCTCGGTCCCGCGGCCCCTCTTGGGGGCCTCTCCGAGCCCTCGCCCCGCTGCCCAGCGTTGAGGCCCACTCCTCCCTTAGCCAACCGCCACCCTGCCCTGCCCTGCCCTGCCCGGCGGATCCTCTGAACTTTGGTTCTTCTTCTCTGAGGTGGATCCTGGCCGGTCGCCACCAAGGGCTTCCGAACCCTCCCTCTCGCCCCTCCGAAATTCACATTCACCGCTCCTCCCCCCAAAATCTCAGACGCAAGACACGAAATACTCAGTTGAAGACAAATGTGAAGTTAGGTGGGAACCAACATTTTATTTTTTATTCCTTTTTTTTTCTTTTCTTTTTATGCTACTGTTACTACTGCTTTTCTGTTCCGAGGTTTTCGCACCAGATAGCCAGAGAAACACAAGGAGCTCATTCAGAAGTGTTAATGAAGGGGTTGCTCTGTCAGATTTCGGAAAGATGCATTGAGCGCTTTCCAGCAGCAGCCCATGTGGCTCCTGACAATGAAAATCACATTGGTCAGAGCTGGAAATTAGTGAAGCGGAGTTTTAGCGAGTTTAAACATGGGAGTTAATTTCTAATCTACTGTCAAATAATTATTACGTGGTATTTTATATTCACATGCAGGTAGGCCAAGTAAGTGATAGACTTAGTGTATCCAGTTCCTTTCCTGAATATCCCTGTAACGGGCAGGTCATTTTTTTTATATGCTTTTACTGAGAGTTGACATAATTGCCTCATGCACTGTGCCTAAGAATGGAACAGTTTTTAGAACCCCTGTCTTGCCGTTTACTTTTCTGTAAAAATTAGGCAAGACGCTAGAGAGGGCCACGTTTCTTATTCTTGAGTTGTTGGGAATCCAGATTATTTCTTGCTGAGTAGACCCGTGTGAATTCAGATTCCGTTCGTTAAACGCTATTGCAAATAAATGATTTGCACCTAGAACAAAGACTGATTAGAATGTACTGTAACATCTAAAACAGAATTGGCACATTTGGGGCTAGATAGCATTTGAGATGACAGCATGTTGCAGTATATCCAGTAAGAACCCTTGGGCCCGGGCACGTTGGCTCAAGTCTGTAATCCCAGCACTTTGGGAGGCCGAGGCAGGCGGATCACAAGGTCAGTGTTCGAGACCAGCCTAACTGACATGGTGAAACCCCGTCTCTACTAAAAATACAAAATATATCCAGGTGCAGTGGTGTGTGCATGTAATTCCAGCTACTCGGGAAGCTGAGGCAGGAGAATCACTTGAACCCGGGAGGTGGAGCTTGCAGTGAGCCAAGATCGTGCCATTGTACTCCGGCCTGGGCGACAGAGCAAGACTCAGCCTCAGAGAAACAAAAAAAAAGAACCCACTACTCAGTACTTCTCTGGGAGATGGGGTTTTCTAGTGATGTTCAGAGCTCTTGCCCCAAAAACTTTGAATACCCTTAATTCTGATTTCACAACATCTTTGTGTTGCCAAGTAGCCCAGGAGTTTTGGTTAAATTCCCAAATGCTCAGTTTTAAAAATAGTTACTTGGGCCGGGCACGGTGGCTCACGCCTGTAAATCCCAACACTTTGGGAGCCTGAAAGAGGTGGTTCACCTGAGGTCAGGAGTTCAAGACTAGCCTGGCCAACAAAGCACAACCCCCTCTCTACTGAAAATACAAAACTTAGCTGGGTGTGGTGGTGGGTGCCTATAATCCCAGCTACTCAGGAGGCTGAGGTATGATAATCGCTTGAACCTAGGAGGTGGTGACCTAGATCATGCCACTGCACTGCAGCCTGGGTGACAAGAGCAAAATTCTGCCTCCAAAAAATAAATAAGTAACTAAATAAAAATAAAAATGGTTACTTGGTAGCACTATTCGGGGAACTCAGACAGGAGTTATTTATTTATTTATTTATTTTTGATACGGAGTTTTGCTCTTGTCACCTAGACTGGCATGCAATGGCACAATCTCGGCTCACTGCAACCTCCGCCTCCCAGGTTCAAGCGACTCTCCGGCCTTAGCCTCCTGAGTAGCTGGGATTACAGGTGCCCGCCACCACACCTGGCTAATTTTTGTATTTTTAGTAGAGACAGAGTTTCACCATGTTGACCAGGCTGGTCTTGAACTTCTGACCTCGGGTGATCCGCCCACCTTGGCCTCCCAAAGTGCTTGGATTACATGCGTGAGCCACCACGCCAGCCCAGGAGTTACTTAATAGGACAGATTAAGAGTCACAACAATAATCAAAACTATGTCCTACAGTGTTCATTCTCTCGAGTATCTGTAGTGTTAAAAATCCTGAGTATATGGTACAAAGACCATGGTAATCATTAACTATATAAAATGGCCTTCATTAGCTGTTAATGACAACCTTTTTTTTGTTTGATTGTTTTTGAGACAGAGTCTCGCTGTTGTCGGCCTGGGCTGGAGTGCAGTGGCACAATCTCAGCTCACTGCAACCTATGCCTCCCGGGTTCAAGTGATTCTCCTGCCTCAGCCTCCCAAGTAGCTGAGATTACAGGTGCCCGCCACTACGCCCGGCTGATTTTTTATTTTTAGTAGAGACAGGGTTTCACCATGTTGACCAGGCTGGTCTCGAACTCCTGACCTCAGGTGATCCGTCCCCCTTGGCCTCCCAAAGTGCTGGGATTACAGGCATGAGCCACTGGGCCTGACCGACAGCCTGTTCTTCTAACATGAAGTTAGCTTGTAATTCTTTCCTAAGTGAATTATCCAGCTATATCTGCATTTGCCTTTTGAGTGTTTTGTCTAGGTTGCCAAGTATGCAGCTGATGCTGGCGTGATGGATGTCTTCTCATTTTGTTCAAATATAAAATATGCCTTAAATTTTATTTAGAAGGTATTTTTGAGCCCCCTTAGTAAACTGTAGCTTTCCTAACACAAAAGTTCCCTTCTTTTTCAGTTTGATATTAGCCTATTTCAGCTACATGGTATACATCATAGAATTTGAACCAAAACGAAACTTGGAGTTTATTGAACTCAGTATTACCAACAGAAGAAAAACCTACAAGAATGATGCTTCATCATTACCGTGGAAAACATATGCTGCATTTTTACTTGTGTTTAAAAATAACCCAAATTTTGTTCTTTATTCAAGACCTTGCAAGCAAGACATTTCTGGAAATACTGCTTTAATATTGATATATTCCATTGTTTTTAAAGGTGGGTTATGAGCCTCTTCCTCCAACAATAGGACGAAATATTTTTGGGCGGCAAGTGTGTCAGCTTCCTGGTCTCTTTAGTTACGGTAAGCGTCTTTGATTTGTTTGGGTTTGGATGACATTGAGAACTGTGATAGGCAGGAGTTGTTACTGAAAGAAAATATATAGAAAGCTTGTTTCTTTCAAATTGTAGTATATCCGTTTCTCTTGACCAGAACTTGACTACATCTCTGACTTGTGTTCCTAGCTCAGCACATTGCCAGTATCGATGGGAGGCGTGGGTTGTTCACAGGCTTAACTCCAAGACTGTGTTCGGGAGTCCTTGGAACTGTGGTCCATGGTAAAGTTTTACAGGTAAGAGGAAAATTAAATCAATCTTCCCATAGATTTTGCTTACCTGTTATGCAACAGTTTATTCTAAATATCAAGAGCAATTTAAAATATACATTTATAACCCTGTCCTTTCTTCCTCTTGAAAAACATTTTCTTAAAATATCTTCTTTCGGCTGGGCGCGGTGGCTCACGCCTGGAATCCCAGACTTTGGGAGGCCGAGGAAGGCGGATCACCTGAGGTCAAGAGTTCAAGACCAACCTGACCAACATGGAGAAACCCCGTCTCCACTAAAAATACAAAATTAGCCGGGCGTGATGGCATGTGCCTGTAATCCCAGCTACTCGGGAGGCTGAGGCAGGGGAATCGCTTGAACCCGGGAAGCGGAGATGGTAGTGAGCAGAGATCGCACCGCTGCACTCCAACCTGGGCAACAAGAGCGAAACTCCGTCTCAAAAAAATATGTATATGTATATATCTTCTTTCCTGGGAAGCAACGGGAATTCCTTTAAAACGAAGTTTTTTTGGTTTGTTTTTTGGTTTTTGTTTTGTTTTGTTTTTGTTTTTGTTTTTGTTTTTTGAGACGTAGTCTTGCTCTGTCACCCAGGCTGGAGTGCAGTGGCGCCATCTCAGATCACTGCAAATTCCGCCTCCCAGGTTCATGCCATTCTCCTGCCTCAGTCTCCCGAGTAGCTAGGACTACAGGCGCCCACCACCATGCCTGGCTAATTTTTTGTATTTTTGGTAGAGACGGGATTTCACCGTGTTAGCCAGGATGATCTCGATCTCCTGACCTTATGACCCACCTGCCTCGGCCTCCCAAAGTGCTGGGATTACAGGCATGAGCCACCACACCTGGCCAGTTCTAGTGGTTTAACACCTGATGAGCAAATCATGATTTTGCTAAAACAGTTTCATGACCTGATTGGCTTGGATTTGACAAATATTTCTTCAGACTTCATCGATTTGAATTAAAGAAGTGTGAGTTAAAGAGGTTTTTCAGCCAGTACCTTACATGGAAGCTGACTAACCCTTCAGTCATCTTGCTATTCTTTTTTGTTCTTGTTTTTTTAATGGAGTCAGGGGCTGCTATGTTGATCAAGCTTTTTTTTTTTTTTTTTTTTTTGAGACTGTCTTGCTCTGCTGCCAGGCTGGAATACAGTGGTGCAATCTCGGCTCACTGCAGCCTCCGCCTCCCGGATTCAAGCGATTGTCCTGCCTCAGCCTCTGAATAGCTGGGACTACAGGTGTCCACCACTGCACCCAGCTAATTTTTGTATTTTTAATAGAGACGGAGTTTCACCATGTTGGCTAGGCTGGTCTCGATCTCTTGACCTCATTATCTGCCCGCCTCGACCTCCCAAAGTGCTGGGATTACAGGCATGAGCCATCGCACCCAGCCTTGCCTGAAACTTTCTATGTCTGCCTCCCAAAGTGCTAATATTACAGGCATGAGCCACCACGTCCAGCCTGTTATTCTTAACATACTTACTGTTGTCAGACCTGTGGACTGAATCTGGAAGCATTATTTCAGGTGGCTCGTGGGTCAGAGTGTTGGAGTCTCAGTGGGCCCATGTCTTTGGTGGATTGATTACTGGTCTTTCTTTTCCAGTCACACTCTGGACTCAGTGAAATTGTTGCTGTTACTTTCATGAAATTTACATATGGAAAGGCAGTTGTCATCTAGCCAAAGAGGTTTATGTATAGACTTAGAGAAAAAGAGAAAGTACTGCTTGAGACTAAGTTACTTTATGTAACTGGAAAATAAGACAAACTTGAGGTAACCAGGTACCCTGAATATGTTCCAAATGTAGTCCAGTGAAATATTATAGGGTTGGTACTACACTTAGCATCCAAAGCTGCTTGTACAGTCAAGAAGAAGGATGTATGCAGGGCTGAGAAAATTATTAACCTTTACAAGAAATGATTTTGTATATCTGAGCAAGAATTAAAATGAAATTCAGGAAATGTAGAAGCCAGGTTAGATAATTGTGTCAATGGAGTAAAAAACAAAGTATAGAAACAAGTGAAAGTTTTTAGAGACCTGAAGCTATTAGAATTAATTCTAGCCAAGGACCTGGAATCTGGCCAAAATACATTACTTTATCTTCACATTTGTTCTCTTGCCTGTGATTTTTTAAAACACAATTCTTTTTACAAGAGAAAATGTTGTCTTTTTAAAACCTGATATGGCTAGAAAATAATAAAACTGACATTAAAAAATAAGAAAACAATAAAACTGGTGGTTACACAAGAAGGAGCTCTCAATTGGTAATTTTATTTTCACCTAGCTCACATTCTGTTTCCAAAAGACGGCACAAAAAATTCCTCTTGCAGGAATTTTTCTCTGGGCTCTGGCAGTATTCATGATCTCTTCTCTAGAAGAGAAAAAAAAAAAAACCTCTCGTTTTAGAAACCGTCAGATACAAAGGAAAAAGTGAGGCGATTTCAGCTCTTCAGACTTAACACCAATTCTCTGTCCTTTTATGCAGGGAAGAAAAGAGTCTTGCCCTAATTTGGTATTGGTCCTGCCTTTTCCATAAGAAAAGTGGGAACCCTGGACTTTGTTTTTACTAACTTACTTTCTGTTAAAACTGAAAGTTCTTGGCCGGGCGCAGTGGCTCATGCCTGTAATCCCAGCACTTTGGGAGGTCGAGGTCGGTGGATCAGCTGAGGTCAGCAGTTCGAGACCAGCCTAGCCAACATGGTGAAACACTGTCTCTACTAAAAATACACAAATTAGCCAGGCGTGGTGGTGGGCGCCTGTAATCCCAGCTACTCAGGAGGCTGAGGCAGGAGAATTGCTTGAACCTGGGAGGTGGAGGTTGCAGTGAGCTGAGATCTAACCATTGTACTCCAGCAGTGAGCCGAGATCGCACCATAGCACTCCACCTGGGCAACAAGAGTGAAACTCCATCTAAAAAAAAAAAATCTGAAAGTTCTTGAATTTTCTTTTTTGTTGTTCTTATTTTGTAATTATTTCTTTAAATTTATTATTATTATTTTTTAGAGACAAAGTCTCACTGTGTTGCCCAGTCTGGTCTTGAATTCCTGGGCTCAAGCAGTCCTCCCTCTTCGGCCTTCCAAAGTGTTGGGATTACAGGCGTGAGCCACTGAGCATGTTCCCTTTTTGTTTTGTTTTGTTTTGTTTTGTTTTGTTTTGTTTTATTTTTTGTTTTTTGTTTTTTTTGAGACAGAGTTTCACTCTTATTGCCCAGGCTGGAGTGCAATGGCATGGTCTCGGCTCACTGCAGCCTCCACCTCCTGGGTTCAAGCAATTCTCCTGCCTCAGCCTTCCACATAACTGGGATTACAGGCACCCGCCACCACACCTGGCTAATTTTTGTATTTTTAGTAGAGATGGGGTTTCGCCACGTCAGCCAGGCTGTTCTCAAACTCCTGACCTCAGGTGATCCACCTGCCTCAGCCACGCAAAGTGCTAGGATTACAGGTGTGAGGCACCACGCCCGGCCCCTTTTCTTTTTTTCTGAGATGGAGTCTTGCTCTATTGCCCAGGCTGGAGTGTAGTGGTGTGATCTCAGCTCACTGCAGTCTTTACCTCCCAGGTTCAAGCAGTTCTCTCTCTTGTCTCAACTTCCCAAGTAACTGGGATTACAGGCGCCCGCCACCAAGCCTGGCTAATTTTTGTATTTTTAGTAGAGATGGGGTTTCGCCACATCAGCCAGGCTGTTCTCAAACTCCTGACCTCAGGTGATCCGCCTGCCTCAGCCACGCAAAGTGCTGGGATTACAGGCCTGAGGCATCACGCCCAGCCCCTTTTCTTTTTTTCTGAGGCAGAGTCTTGGTCTGTTGCCCAGGCTGGAGTGTAGTGGTGTGATCTCAGCTCACTGCAGTCTTTACCTCCTGGGTTCAAGCAATTCTTCTGTCTCAGCTTCCCAAGTAGCTGAGAATACAGGCGCCCGCCACCAAGCCCAGCTAATTTTTGTATTTTTAGTAGAGATGAAGTTTCGCCATGTAGGCCAGGCTGGTCTCGAATTCCTAACCTCAAGTGATCCACCTGCCTCAGCCTCCCAAAGTGCTGAGATTACAGGCAGGAGCCGC